CTGGGCCGCCGCCTCCGCCTCTGGGCAACGGGGATAAATCCTGAAGGCCTCGGGAATGAGGCCAGTTCCTCCCTCTGTGCCGCGTTCCGGGGCAGCTCGGCCTCCACGCTTCTTGGAGTCTTTGAAACCTTCGCCGTGCTTCTGTGGGGCCCATGATTTAGTTTCTCTTCCGTTTCTTGGCACATCATCCCATTTTGACTTGTCACAAATCTGTAATCCCCCTATATCGACAAGGGATTCTGCCCTCAGTTATTATTTATTGCAGGAACCAAAGGAACAAGCAACTTATCACTGTTTCACTTTTTCCTCCACTGTCCTAGTTCTCATGGAGCTTTTCCTTTCTAAAATTGCTTCACTTGTTTTTCAAAAAGGACAGATCTAAAATGTATTTTTCTATTTCAGTCACCTAGCCAGGAAAAGTGGTAGTACAGTAATCTCCATGCTGCAATAATGAAGTCTCATTCATTAATGACAGGTGTGGTTGTCTTGGAATTTTTTGTACTCTTCACATGCCCTCAGTACAGGCTTTCCTGGAGAAATGGAAAAGGGTTTAGTGTTTTATGTAGGTTATCTTAATTTGCTTATATTGAATTACTTGTGATAGCTGGGGCAACTGATACAAAACTTAAAAACAAACACCTGTTACCAGTGACTGATTCAAAGTTCACATCTTCCTCCCTTTTTCCTCACTAGAGATTGTATAAATGATATCCTAAAATCATCAGTGGTGATGGAGTACCTCAAAAGGGTAATTTTTAGACTCGGGGGACCTGCAAGAATGCTCACCCCATCCTGCTCCTAAGACGGGTAGCCATGTTAGTTTGTAACCAACAAAACTTTTAAAACACTGAGGCTATGTCTACACTGGCGGCTTCTTGCGCAAGAACACGTCCACACTGCCACGTGCGAGCTGTGCTTTTGCGCAAGAGCTCCCATGGCAGTGTCGATGCTCTCTTGCGCAAGAAAGCTCTGATGGCCATTTTAGCCATACAGCTCTCTTGCGCAAGAAGTCCCTGCCGAGCGTCCACACTGCCCTCTTGCGCAAGAGCTCCTGCGCAAGAGGGCTTAGACCTGATAAAAAAGAGCGTAGCACTTGCCCAAGAAGCCCTCTCTTACCACGCCGTACTGTACATTTCCTTGCACAAGAGCAGACGGGCAGTGTGGACGCTCTGCAGATTCTTGCGCAAGAACAGCTGTACTTGCGCAAGGAGCCATGAGTGTAGACATAGCCTAAGTTCATGTCTGTGGATAGTAACAAAAGCACCCTGGCAGATTGCAGCATCTCTGATGGGACTTGGGGACAAAAGCAGTCTCTTGAAACAGGCAAGTCTTGGGTGATTTTATAGATGATACCTTGATATAAAAACTGAGAGCACCGCAGCACAACAATTATATGCTCATGTTTGCCTGCTTACTTAAAAGTGGCAAATTTATTTTACATTAGTTGAAGCTTCAAATGGTCTTCAGCAGTAATTCCAATACAGTACATAGTATATCTAAGCTGGACTGTTGCACTGTAAGGACCACATCAAAAAGGATAACTGTAATTCTGATTTTTTTATATCACTTGGCAGGATTCCTGCTTTTGAGTCTCAGTTCCTTAGTATGATACTGTGTGAAATCTCTAGCTTTCAAAGATTTTTGTCACTGAGAATTCGTCTTCATTCTGAGATCAATAAAGGTGTTGACTTCATTGGTGTTGTGGTTCCTTTAGAATGTCTCATTTCACTTTCTGTATGGGTGGGAAACAGCATTATCTTCACATTTAAATGCAGCAACAATAATAGAGGCCCCTAAATATTTATATGATAAGATAACATTAGAGAAAAATTGGTAATTGAAAAATGTTGAACATTTCTCCCTCCATTACATCTGAATGGGGGTCATAAAATCCCTTCTCAAATGAGATGTCAGAGAAACAGATCAAGTAATTAAAATCATCCCTTGTCTAACAACATGAGTCCAAGGACTTCCTTTAAACAGTCCTGTTTTTGGAAACAAGAAAGTTTGAGGCGAGCCTTTGCAAACCCAAACATTCTCCAAACATGGGAGGAACAAAGACACTATACAAAGCCATTTCATGTACCCTTGAAAATTATGGAGACTTTCTGAATGCCAAAACATAGAGCCAGTGGTAAAAGTGAAGAAAATGTTGACTCAATGGCGAACAGCTAAAAAAGAACTATATATATCATCCTCTGGCTGAGAATGATATAAGTTTTGTACCCCAAAGCAGGCATTCAGAAGTAAATGCATTCATTTTCATTACTACAGATGTGGTAATCTTGACTCTCCTTCTTCCCCCCCCCTCCGTAGCCATTAACTGGCTACAGTGAAGAGCGGGGATAATGTTTTATCAGAAGTTTCTTCCTATCTATGTCCAGGAGACTTTTTTTTAGTTGTTCCTTTAATGGTGACGTAAAGGCAAAACCAGACACAACCTACAGTTCCTACTCCCTTCTACCAATAGTAGCCTTTGATATTATATTTGGCATTAGTAATTACTAGGTGATGCTTTCTCACATAAAACATTGCCTTGGTACTCAGTGCAAGACCCCACAAGAGGAAAACCTCTCAACAGCTTGCTCAGGTCTTCAGTCTTTCTAGAGCTATAGATGGCACAGCACAGTCTGGCTCTTCTAAGGCTCCCCAGGACTCCTCTCCCTATAAAACGTTCTTAGTCCTCAGATATTTCAGTACAACAAACCAAATTATCAACAGGCAAAATTTCTGCAACCCTTCAGGGAACGGCTTATACGATCTAACCACAGAAAACGTATAGCTCCACCCAAAATGAACAAGACTTTACCTATGCAATTTCCTTTCCTCCTAAGCAGCCATAAACTACCTTCAATATCCCTTTTTTGTCTTAACAAAATAGAATATTTAAGCATTTTTACTATAATCCGAGAGCTGAGCAATTCCTCCATCCAGAACAGGCTAATAGGAGTACTGCTCCGCTGACCCAATGAGAATGAGGATCCTAACTAAACCAATGAGAGAGCCTCTTTCCTTCGTTCTATTCACCTCTACTGTCAACTCAAAAAGCTGAAGTGGCTGGTGCCCTATCTTTCAGAAGGCATGAACAGAACAAGGCACTTGTCTTCTAGTCCCAGCATCTGGCAATCAGAGTTTAGGGACCTCTAGAACATGGGGTTGGACCCTTTATAATCTTGGCTGATAAATTCACACGCTACATTTAAAAAACATTTCTCCCCACCCGCACCAAGCCATCTGTTGAATTCCTTCAAAAGTTGATTTATTTGTTCATTCATTCCTGTTCCTCTTTCAGTTTAGAGACAAGGGGAAATTTAACATTCGTCGAGAGAAAAAAAATCAAATACTGGTCCAGTCTGAGCGCAGAACTGTGGGTGTGTGCAAAGCTTTGATGTTGTTGCTCTCCCCTCCCCCTCCTCCCGTTGCTCCCAAGAAAGCGATGGGTCATTCCTTAGGAGCAAGGCTAAAGAAAGAAACACCCTCCGGCTCCGATGAAGATGCCTGGCTAGTGTGGAGTAACGGGAGGCCTCGGGTGGCTCTTGGCATTTCGGGGTTTCAGACACACACTTTTTGAGGAGAGCCAGACAGGCCGAGACAGGAGGGCTGGGAAGTTGATTTGGTTGTGTCTGGGTCTAGGCTATATTAGCAGCCTGCAGCAGCTCTGGCTTCCAATGATGGAGTGAAGGGGCGAGAGCAGCTCCGCTCAAAGTGCCTGGCAGTGGGAGAGCCAACTGGCTTCTAAAGAAGAAGGGCAGGGTGGTGTTGGCGGCGGGAGAAACTGCGCCCCCTCTGCGCTGTGATGAATGCAGCGCAACCGGGCGCTGCTGCTCCTGGGGCATCTGCAACCCCAGGCAGTGAAAAGAAAAGGAGAAAAAAGAAGCCACCCAGCAGACAGCGGCAGGCTTCCGCCCAGCTCCTCCTGTGGAGCGTAGACTTCTCCAAGAACCTCAAGGGCTTCTCCTTGGCGTCCATCAAGAAGGAGAAACAAAAGCCACATCAAAGTGCTCCAGGACACTTCAAAGCGGGGCCTACTGAAGTGCGGGGCCCGGGGCAGCCGCCCCGCTCGCCCTGACCTATATCCGCCGCAGAGAAGCACATCTCAGAGAAAAACTGGTTCAAAAAAGATATTCTCCAATAAAAGGTAACTTCTGTCTATCATACAGGTTAAATGCCAATGCAACTCACGAATATAAATCAAACAGTTTCCGATGTGAAAATGATTTTCAATTTTGCATTCACAGGAGAAGGCTATAGACTGTTTCTGTCAAGTATTCAGAAATAAACTCTTCAGGAGATGAATGTAAATATCAATCTAATGTTGTCTTTAATAATACACACATGAAAAAAAGTCTTTATGTAATACCAGTAAATACATCCAGTCTTTCTACTAATGTTAGTGCTTTTGAGACAATAAAACTGGGATTAATACCTTAGGTCTTTGTGATCCCTTATGGACATAGTGCTGAAAACTTGCTCAGGGATGTATTACCCTAAAAAGTAAACACTCAAGATTAGCATAAAAGGCTATACTGAGAGTGTGTTATATTCTATCTAACTGTTATTTCTGCTATAGCTAAGATGATAATTTAATAGAGCCACTGCATTCGTTAAATGTATCGGTGTAGTAACTGGCAACATTTCATATTGGAAGAGAAATGGGCCAGAACTAGCTGGAAAATGAGCTTCGAAGTTCATGGCAAAATTCAAGTTTTTAGAAAAAGTTTGTCCCAAATCAGAACAACAATCCCAAACTTGATGTTTTTCATGTATCTGGAAGTCTGCAATATTTTGTTTTGGAAACAGCAAGATCTTTCTGCTGTGGAACCTTTTCAGTTTTTCTGAAATAAAATATGCCTTTCCAGACAGCCAGTTTCCCCTGAAGTCCTGGCTCCAAGATAGTCCACCAGGTGAGTTGAGGACTTTAGGTATGCTCTATAGTCCGGGTAGTTTCACATGGTTTATAGTCCTTGTAGGGCAGTTATACCTAGTGTAGTTTAAAGGGGTGTGTCTAAGTTGCACTATAGCTCGAAATAAGATTTGAGCTACGCAAATTGCGTATCTTATTTTGATCTTATTTCAAAATAGATTATTTCATAATTTGGTGCTATCTATACAGCACCAAATTTCAAAATAACTCACTATTCCGAAATGTCCATTACTCCTCATGGAATGAGGTTTACAGGGACGTAAGACTAGCGAACCCGTTATATTTAAAAATCATGGGCTTGTTGTGAAGACACAGAATAGCTAATTCTGGATACTCTGGTATTGCGAAATAATATTGCAGTGTAGTCGTAGCCAATCAGGCTTCAGGCTCCTCTTATTGGCTCTATTCTGAGAATCAAAGAGCAGCAACCAAGTCTTCTGAAGCCTTTAATCCCTCTGCTGCATCCAGCAGAGAATCTAAATTATCATCTCTAGAGACCCTGCTATTACATTTTGCCAAAATTATACCTTTAAAGGAAAAAGATTGCAATGAGATAATGTAGTTGCTTTAAAATCACATCAGTTGTGAATATTGAATAGCCTTCAGATTCACTCTAAAATATATCTGGCTTGCCATTCCATGAAAATTCATAGAAAAATTCATTTGTTTTTAAGGGGAGTTGAGGGAAATGGGATGCCAAGCTCTAGATATTGTCACTTGAGAATAAAGTGGTATGTCACTTCACAATACATACAAAATAGTAAAAAAAAACAGAACTGAAATGGACTATCGTATAAAGCACAGTAGCACCAGCACTTGGATTCTGAATGGGGCTGTATGACTGATGCTTCAAAAGGTCAAAAATCTAAAAGTTATAACATGTTAGAACCAATGTTAGGAATTGAGCCAAAATGTAGGAAAAGAATGGTTTCACTGCTCCACAGGAAGTTAGGCTGCCAGTGATCTGGCACCCCAGCTTGTCATGCTGACCAATATTGTCTCATTTTTATCTTGTATGCCCCATAAATCATCTTCCATTCTTGTTTTATAGATAAGATCTTTGGGGTTAGAGACAGTATGTTCTGTATTTGTAAGCACATAACACAGTGGGGTCCTGGTCCATGACTGGGGCACTTATGTGCTATGATATTAAAATAATAAAGGCTCATCATCCCATGTCCAGCTAAAGATGAAAAAAAAGGACTTTGAGCCACTACTGTCACCTGGGAATCTATGTATGAGCAATGATATAAAGAATCTGAGCTAACAAGACAATTACAACTTAGAAGGAAGCTTTATTACCTCATTGTAATGTGTAGTGATGAAATAATTTTATATGCCTTAATATGTTTTTTCCTGTATCAGCTATACCTTATTTAGATTGAGCCCACCTGCCTTTTTCAGACAAGATCCTAATTCAGCCAGGCACCGCAAAACAAGAAAATTACAGAATCAGTCTCAACGAGAAGATGACACAAAGCTGAGTATTATCATTATACAAATGTTAGTACAGTTCAGAATATTTCACAGACTCCACTAGCAGCCTTATTTATAGCAAATATATAGTAAATATTGAACAAGAGAGATGGCAACATGAAACCCTGTGGAATCTCACAGGTAATTGTCCTCAGGAAGGAATAATAACAATTGCCTCTTGCAAACCTCTGGGTCCTCCCTGAAATGAGTAATGTGAAGCACTGTACAGTGACCACACCCACCTCTGGATAAATCATCTGTCTACTAATGCCGTGAACAGCAGAAACATTCTTTAAAATGTTTGCTTAAACATTCCGATCACCTAATTTGTGACTCCTACAGAAAGAAAAATGCTTAAGGCTGAGCCATAATTACATTCTCTTGAATGGAATCTAAATGTTTAAACACTTTGGATAAGCTAGTTCTAGTGCTTTTTGAGAAACCCAAGTCCCATCACTCACTACGAAGCCTAGTATATTGGGAGAATTTAAATCATTTTCAAACATGTTGTAATGTGGTTTATGTCCAGACTCTCTCATATTATGTTTACCAGTTGTGCCTCTGTAGCTAGAGGGCTAGTCATTCAAATGGTTTGAAGAATTGTAGCAATGGGGGTATTTTTTTAAAACAGCCTCTGTTTTGAAGAATTGTTATTAAGTTCTGGCTGATCTATGTTTTACAATAATTTTGAGTAGGTTTGTTTTGCTAGAGTGCAAGTAAGGTAAAATGTACATTTAAGTCTATTGTTTGTAAATATCTTTTGTGTAATGCCACAAAAGATATTTACAAACAGTAAATATCTTTTGTGGCATTACAAAATGGGGGAAGGGATAGCTCAGTGGTTTGCGCATTGGACTGCTAAACCCAGGGTTGTGAGTTTAATCCTTGAGGAGGCCATTTAGGGATCTGGGGCAAAATCTGTCAGGGATGGTACTTGGTCCTGCTGTGAAGGCAGGGGACTGGACTCAATGACCTTTCAAGGTTCATTCCAGTTCTAGGAGATAGGTATCTCCATTCATTTAATTTAGCAACTTTTCTAAAGGTGTGTCTACACAAAATGAAGCAGGGAGGCTGATTGGATGATGTGATTGTTTGATGTAGATCGCAACATTCTTGATACTTTCATGTGTTCACTCATAGTACATCTTTCAGTTGGGGCTGTATCAGTGCATTCCAGCACTTTTCAAGCACCTGTTTTATTATGCCCCCTGGAGCAGAAGTTTTTGCCTAGTAAAAGATGGCATGGGTTTAAAGGAAGAAGTTGATACTGGCAGCATTCAAAACTCTAAATAATTCCTCTTTGGAAGGCTGAAAAAGATCTGAAAATGAAATCTGATCAATTTAGACACAACACAGGAGTAGGAAAAGATTAGGGTACAATTTTAATTAATACAGTAAGAATATATATGTATTAAAAAGTAATCATGTTCTTTGGTTGTAAACCAAAACCAGATTGTAATTAGAGAAACAATTGATACAGCCTCACACTGAACATGATGCCGTTCTCCAGGAGGCACCCTCTACTGCATTCCTTTGCATGTGCAGTGTGCTCAATCCCACTTCATAGAGTGGTTGAATCAAGAACCATGATGCTTGCTGCTCCATTTGGTGGTTCAAAGATCAATCTTTGCACTCATCCATTACAGGAACTGCAATTCCAACAGGCTGTTTCCCCACATGTGCATGGGCTGGGAGAGGTCATAAAGGCCAGCTACCATCTGGCCTTTAATTATTTGTAAACAGAATTCCTTCAGACATCTCAAAGGTACTAGGCAGAAGCCTACGGCTAGTCTGAAGTTTTAAAAAGTAGCTGATTGTAAGTTTTTCAAGTGCAAAAAGTGAGAACAGTATTTCTTCACGCTCAGATGCTTAATACATGCTTTAAAACTGGACAAATCTAATTTTACTAAACAGTTCTGCAGAAATTCACTTTTGGTTTGACAACAGTAGTGAGAAATTACACCCTAAATTATTTTGATAATTTGTTTGTAAAGAAAATGCCACTTCAGCGATAGCTATGTCTAACAAAGCTGTAACTCCAAGATTTTAATGGAGCACAGGAACCCATTCAAGAAAGAGGAAACAATACAGTTAGCCACAACCATAAGTCAGTCAAGAACATTTATTACAACAAAGGGAAAACCACAAACCACAAAAATAATTCAAATATTACCAACAAAATAGCCACGTGAATTTTAAATAACTGAAATTATAGCTCCTATACTGGTTAATAAAATCTACCCACAGTCTGATCTACATGCATTATAATGCTATGCAATGGTTTACTCTAAAATCTGAAAAATGAAATGTATACTTGATGCTACAAGCCATTACTTCTTCTTGCTACAAATCATTGTCAGAGAAGGGAGAGTGATCATAAAACTGTTTTCTGTCTGAAGCTGCTGTTTCCCACACGGACATAGATGCCTAATGCCAATGATCTCCTGAATGGTTGTGCCTGCTGCCAATATGACTTGCCATCACTAATTATCATCATTACGGTATCATTACGGTCCTAATGTGGATGCATTTCCAACTGAGAGAAGAAAGCTATAACATGAAGACTTCTCTTCAAGTTTATGATGCCCACTGATGCTTTTGCTTGCCAACATCTGTTCTAGGTCTCTTGAAAATATCTTTTCTAATTGGAAGGAGGAATAAAACATGGGAGGTTGAAGGACTGCATCTATTGAAAGAAACACGTTAATTACCAGTGACTGATTTTACAAATATATTGTTAAGTTACACAGAACCTTGCTTTTAAGTATGCATGGGCCCTCTATATTGAAACTGGACCTCCATATAAAGTAATGACTTAGAACCAATACATGCTCTCACCCTCTCGGGAATATTTGGATATGTGGTAATATAAGGAACTGCAGGCTTGAATCTTTTTAGTTCCTCCCACCTAATAAAAATCTGTATCTTAGACTCTTAAAAATTGGAGACCGAGGTTAGGAAATACTGAAAGAACCACAGTTTTCTTTGCCTCCTCCAAATATTGTCAGCATAAATCTCCACTTTTGGGTTATGTCTAGACTATGGCGAAAAACTCCGCCATTTCCAGGGAACGCATGTGCTCTTCCAACATTTTTTGTGGAAGAGCAGACATGATCTTTCGGAAACCCTATCTTCCTCGTACCACAAGGAAGAAGGGCTCTTCTGAAAGAGGAGGCTTTTCCGAAATTTGGCCCAGTGCAGATGGGCCAAATTTTGTAAAAGCCTCTTCCAAAAAAAAAAATCATAAAAAGGTATGCAAATTGCCTTGCAAAAAAACCACAGTCTAGAAGTAGCCTTTGAAGATTAACTAGCAGAAATAGCACTCACAGGAGATGGATCTGAATAGCCAGTTAAACAAAAGACTATAGAACTGCTCTCCAGAATTAAGCATTAAATCCAGAAGATGAATCACAAGAATAACGGAGTAAATGTATGAAGACTGTCAGAGAGCACCCTTATAGATCTCAGTAATAGATATATAATACTAGGGGGCAGTGCCCCCTGCTCACTACGCTAGCCAACACCCCTCTCTGGGGGTAGGCAGTTCTGGCTTCCTCCCCGCCCCCCGCAATGGCCACTAGTGAGGGCCAGGCCAAGGCCTAGCAGCCCTGGCTCTCTTCCCATACCTGGCTGCCAGGCCCCTCCAAGGCCAGGCCAGCCCCAGCTCTCTCCTTCCAGCCAACGGGGGGAGGGCAAGCCAAGGCTGGCCTGGCTTTCTCCCCCTGGCTGTCAAGGGGGTGGGCCGAGGCTGCTTCAGCCCTGGCTTTCCCTGTCCTGGCCCTGAGGCTGCCCCAGCTCTTCCCCCTGCCTCTGCTCTTGTCCCCCCAGCCCCTTCTCCCCCACCCACCAGCCCTGGCTCTTCCCCCCGGCCCCAAGGCCAGCCCTGCTCTTGTCTCCCTTGCCCCTTCCTCTCCCATCCACTAGCCATGGCTCTTTCCTCCCCTGGCTGCCAGGTAGGGGGGCCAGCGTAAGGCTGGCCTAGCTCTCCTCCCTGACCTAGTGTGTGTGTGAGAGGACACGGGTGCAAGGAAGGGGTGCGGCTGCCACCTCCCTGGGTCACCAAAGAGGGAGGCCCCTTGGATCACCAGGGAGGGGAAAAAGGGAGAGGCCACGTGCTTCGCAGCTTCCGCCCCCCTCGAGCACTGGGGAGGTGGGGAGGAGAAAGGCCACACAGCTTCCGGGGCTACACAGCTTGTGGCTTCACACCCTCTTCCCCCACAAGCACAGTGGAGGGGCAAGGCTGCACGACTAGCGGCCCTCCTTGCCCTGAGCACCGGGGAGGGGAAAAGCTGCATAGCTCCTGGGCCACATGGCTCATGGCTTTGGGCCCCCGCTTTCCCCGAAGCACCAGGGAGAGGGGGCTGCTCCGGGGCCTCTCCAGGCCCTGCGTGGCAGCCAAGCACTAGGAAAAGGGAAGGGTGGAGGGAGGGAAGAAGGGAGAGAAGATAGTGGCAGGTGGGATGCAAAGTGACATGATGACATCACTCTGTTGTCCTGCAGGCAAAGTGTTTTTAATATATATAGAGAGATGCTGTAAAGCCATTTTATGTTAAGAGAATGCTCCACACGTGAAATATAGTACTCGGTATGTAGGTAGTTGTTAGAAAAATGTGCCAATAGATGATACTCCAGAATATACAGTATTGATCTAGGTTTTTGCAGGTTCAATATATTGTACATTGCAAATTGTTTCCTGTGTGCAACTCTTTACATTCAGGAATGCGAAGAATGAGGGAAATATCTGTATTTTTATTAATATGGTGTGTACTTCTATTCAATTTTTACCATGCTGTCTGCTACATAGATACAAAAAATTAATTCAGCCCTGGTGTTTTTACTCATTTTCAGGAAAGTAGACAATGGCTGTAGATAGAAGAGGCCATGATATAGGTGTCAACTTCTTTGACGGTTTACCCCTACCATACTGTGATTAACAGAGTGTTTGATAACCCAGTGTGGAGGTGGGATTCCAAGTGGGAAAAATGAAACAAAGGTGCTGGGATAGGTTTAAAGCTTCATTCCTCAATCTGAGAGAATCAATAGGAGAGAGTGACTACCTGAGGAGACACTGTTCCTCCTTTCCCAGGTGTTGGGATACCAGGACTCACTCAGGCCTACCTAAGTTTTAAGAGAAATGCTAAGCTTACAGTAAATAATTTTGTAGGCCTTTTTGTTATAATCCTTTTCCTCTCTCTTGGTTACGCTCCTATGGATAAATCAATAATTCTGCATTTTGAACAGCCTGATTATAGTCCCTGTGTTCCTAGCTCTCTCAGGAAGTCTGAGAAGGGGCCAAACCCAGCTTGAGCTGTTGAAGAGAGAGAGTTGGTAAACAGCGGTAATGAAATCTGGAGACTCAGTCTAAAGATGGGAAGGAATTCCACTTTGAGAGACATACAGGTGGTGAGTTTGTCACCTGAAAAGAGTGCCTACGAGGGATGTTAAAAAGTGTTCATTCATGTAAGCATGCAACCACTGAAAAAAAAATTTAGTGGTTACACATTTACATGCGGAAGGGAGGCAGCTCCCTGGGAGCCGGAACCGGCTTAAAAGTCAGCTCCTCACATGCATCAGTTCCTGCCTGCCCCCTCCCCTCATCCTGCTGCCGCTTCTTATACACAGAGGCTATGTCTACACTGGCGGGTTGTTGCGCCAGAAGTTTGCAAATGAGGCTAAGCGTGGAATATCGCCGAGCCTCATTTGCATACCTAATGAGCCACCATTTTTGCGGAAGAGGCTCTTGCACTAGAAAGAGCTATCTACACTGCCCCTTCTTGTGCAAGAAAAAGTCTCTTGCACAATGCCGTTATTCCTGAAAATAATCAGCGTAACAGCATTGTGCAAGAGGGTTTTTCATAGCACACTTAGCCTCATTTGCATACTT